TCTTGACCTTCTTTCCACCTCTCCTGCCTACCACGCGACACCCGTCTTAATTATCTGCAATACAACGTTGGAGCTAACTACCTAGGAGTAAATGTAATTGAGCAGTGAAGTATAGGCAAGGCATTTACTTCTGTAGTGGTGGAGATAACTCATTTTTTTCCCCATTTGGGAGATTGTTTTCTACACATAATGTCTTAATCAATATACTGTTTCAAGACTTTATTGAAACTTGGATCCCTTACTGAACATACTTTATGCAAAACACAACTGCTGTTTGTTCCTAAGTGCTTTGTACTTAGAATTCATTTGGTCTAAAAGAAACATTATCATTTTTTTGTTTGTTCACTTGTTTATTTATATATTCATTTAACAAATATCCACTGAGTATTCATTACATGCCAGAAACAATTCTAAGCACCAGGGATACATCCATGAACAAAATAAGTATTGTCGTTAATAATTACACACTTGGTGTGAGTGGAGTCCCAAAAACTGATCCTTTCCTTGAAGGGGGTTGTTGCCTGGATTTCTCTTCCAGGTGCAACAACGGCTTACTCATGAGCAGTGGAATATCATCACCAATCCTGATTTGCTTGACTTGACTGTGATTATAAGTTATTGAGGAGTTAGGAAAAGTATTTTACCTGTGTTTTCTTCTTAATTTAGTACCCACCCCCATGCTTATAGATAGTTCCTTATTACAAGTTGGTTGGTAGTGGTGGTGGCAGCAGCAGCCTTACATCACTATGAAAATTTGTACTTTAAGAGTAGGCATTTGCTGCCCTAGCTGGTGTGGCTCAGTTAGTTGGTTCCTCAGAGTGAAAAGTTGCCGGTTCGATTCCCAGTCGGGGCACCTGCCTGGATTGTGGGTTTGGTCTCCGGTCAGGGCACGTGTAAGACTCAACTGATCAATTTTTCTCTCTCACATTGATGTTTCTCTCCCCCTCCCTTCACCTCTCTCTACAAATAGGTAGTAGGTAAGAATCTTTCAACAACAACAACAACAAAAAGAATAGGCACTTGCTGAAGAACTTAATCTGCCAGAACTCCACTTGCGAGATGACAGCTGTGAATTCAGGGAATTTTTAGACCATTCAGCTGGCTCTTAGAGTCAGTTAAAGACCCTATTTATTGATGAAGTCAGGAATTCCATATTTATTGTACTGAATGCATTTGCACAATACTTAGAAAGTTTTGTGAAGCAGAATATTTGCTGCAAAGAAAAATTCACCTTTACCGTGGTTCTCTTCCGTATGGAAAGACCAACTTTAAATCCAGAGCCCATTTAAAAATATCACATGAGGATCGCTGCATTCTGTGGCTCAACAGAGATGACCATCAAAGTCTGTATTGTTTTCATCTCAGTACTTGGCACAAAGCATTCATAATTTTAACATCTATACATTCAATAGTGGTTATTTTAATTGGAAATTTAAAAGTGAATAAAGACTAATTTTATTCCATCATGCTGTGTTCTCAATAGTTTTCTAAATTTTTCCCTTCAATAATCCTGCCCCCAAATAAGACAGACATATTTTAATTGATCTCATTAATGTTATAGACTTGCATAATGTTGCCTAAAGTAGCAAGACTAACACTTTTTGAACTTGGAGTTTTTCTTTCTTAGTTCATGTTTCAGTGATGCTGAGTGTGTGCGCGCACACGCGTGCGTGTGTGCATGCGTGTGTGTGTGTGTGTGTGATCAGTAGGTTTTTAACTGCTTGGGATTTCTCCGGGGAAAACTAGACAGCCATTTATCTCAGACGCACTAAGTGTCAGACACTGTCCTAAATGCCCTTGAGTCCGTTATCCTACTTACACATCGCCACAAAGTCTTTGAAAGAGTTGATTGCAATCTGTATTTTTAAATTCTGAGGCTCAGGGAATTTAAATAATTTTATCAATCTCATTAAGTAGCGATCTGGGCTCTGGCACAGATCTTTTTGATTCTTTCCCTGAACCATAGTCCTCTCGGTGAGAACCCATTCTCCATTTATTTCTCTGGCTTTGGTTTTTTGTTTTGGTTCTATTAAATGACATCAACTTTCTAGTTGGGAAAAAAATCAAAGAATAAGCTTAGGAGCTAATTACTTACAAGTAAATGAATTCTAAAAGGAGGGACTCACCTGCGAGCACTAGGGTGCTGTCATCTCCATGGTCATTGGGTGGCCGTGGTGCCTCTTGCCAGTCACCTGAGAGAGCCTGATAAAGCATTGTCCTGGTGGATAGAAACAGGACATGTGACTGGGGCACATCTGCCCCCGCTTCCTGCAGAATATATGTTCTCCTTGTGATACTAGTGTCAGTTTCCCTCCCTTTCCAGCCACCCATCCTCAGTCAGCGTCTTCTCTGGCGCCCACCGCCTGGCCTCTGCGGGCCAAGACAAGACAGTCAGTGCCATGAACGCCAGGGAGGGAGAGGCTCTGGCCCTCTCTGCACTCTGCTCAGGATCCGACAGCTGGTTCCGTGGCAACGTCCATGAGAGCAGCTCCAAGGTTACTTGCCTGGGAAGGCGCAGAAAGACCAGCAAGTCTCGTTTCTTACCCAGAGTGCTGAAGTGCTGGAGTGAACCTCAGAGGACAGAAACTTACAGACTGTATGGTCTTTGGCCACAGCCTTTACTTTTGGTCATAACAGCTTGATTTTCAGGAACATTTTCACTGGGTTGGTGCAGCTTATTGGTAATTTAACAAGCTAGATTGGAACTTGTGGTCTGTGCAGAGGAAATCATATCAAATGCTGTATAGGTGGTACTTGGTAGCGGGACTGGAATAATACACGAAGTTCTTGAATATGGAATTTTGGTTGGGGTTCAGGTTTGGAGGAAGTCTCTTTTTTTCATGTTTCTGCCCAAGCTTTACTTTTTGCTTAGTTTAACCCTGTAAAAATCAGTAATCACCCGTCTATAGCTAACAGGGATTTAGAACAAATGACTGGAGGTAGGTTAATCAGGTCTGTATTTAATTATTCAATACTTAAAATCACAGAACATCAGAATTTTTAGAAATCATTGGGAATCATGTAGCCCTTAGAAAGATATGTTCATATTGAGTAGGTTAAGGCATTATTTTTTGTGTAGATTTATTTATTTCATAGTAAGTTATTTATATTTTTCCTGGAGTGCAGAACATAGCCTGGTTTCTTCTATATATACACAACCATTTTCTTGGAGATTTAATTGTATCTTGATTTTATGATCTAAGAAAAAGAAGTATTGATAAAGGAGACATATTTACTTCTCTTTTCCCTGTATGTGACCATACCACATGAGCTTTTTAGGAATACTTTTATTAAAGGAGTAATATTTGTGGTAGTCTTGATGTTCTCCTTTTGTTCTCCTTTAACTCAGCTAAACCAGTGATGTAGCAGAACATTAACATCGCTGTTGCAAATGTAGTACTATAAAATGGATTTCTTTCAAATGAGAAAAAATAGCTCACGATTTTGAATTAAAAGCTGTACATGCCATTATGTTTTCTGTTTATCTTAAGACAACATGCTCTGATTAGTCGGTGGAAATGAGTAATCCAAATGGGATTTGTCTAGACTCTCAGGCCTCCGGGAAGTCTTGATGATCTGGGGTATGGATTTCTGAAGCTTCACGTGTTTTTATCAGTCAATTTCCAAGGTGCCTCAGAGACCATTAAGATAGATAATAAACCAGGTGAGATTAAGTTGTGTTTCGTATCATGCAAAGAAGTATAATGAGGAAATGTTTAATTTAGAAAGAAGAAATGAAACACTGTAAATGTAGATTGTTAAAGTTTTGAGGAACCCATTGTATGGCCTGTATCTTTCTTATCAGTTCTGAAACTGTTAAGAAATGATAGAAATAAGGTAGATAAAGGATGAAATATTACCTTTGTATTGATAGAAGCCAGATGTGGAATGATATAGTCTGGTTTGAGAGTCAAATGGGTTTTCTGAATGAACGGCAGTATTAAAACAGATTTACTCAGCCACTCACTGAAGGTGCCGGACCAGTTCGTCCTTCTCTGGGCAAGGCTGGATCTTTATCGCCGACCTTAGCAAGACAACACTTACTGCATGCATTCTGGTTTCTAAAGTGGAGTCACGGGGTTGCTGAGGCAAACATCCTCAGCTGCCGCTTCTCCACTTTACCAAAGGAGTTACCTCACTTTCCCTGGAGTGGGTAAAACATGGAGAAAGGTCCGGGATTCCATTAATTGAGCTTCATTTTAATGGAAAGAGCACAAGACGTGGGGGTGGAAGGAGAGCATTTCTCCCAACATCCTAAGATACGCATTTTTCCACATTCTAAACTCTCCGAAATTAGGATGTATCTGAAATCAGTGGCCTCTTAATGGCTGTGCGCTGGCAGCGGTCCTGATGACCTGCCTTTGCCGCAGTGTGCGGGAGTTCAGGGGCTATTCCTCACGCCGCGACCCTTCAGGATTGCTGTGCTAATGAGCCTCTTAAGGAACATTCGAGGAAGGAGGAGGAGTCTTGCTTGGCATAGGAACATGTTTTCCGTGGACCTCCTGAGAGCACCAAGAACATAGCAACACATTAAACCTTGCTGAATGGGTATCAGTCAGCGGCTCGAAATAAAACCCTGGATACATTTCTTTGAGAGATTCACTCAGTGATAGTCTTTAGAAAATAAGGATATTGACAACCCTGGGTCATTCAGAAGAGCTGGACTCTGAATATTACATGGTTTTAAGAATATCAATTTATTTTTCTTATAGCTCCTTATTACATGTGCGACTTATGGGAAACATCTACTTATTTCAAAAGGAGGTTTTCAGGAAGGATTCTGTAGTTTAATTAGGGTGAAAATGCTCATTCATAGTTGATTGAATGAAGAAGACTAGGTTGTGTCATTCAAAATAGTTATATATATATATATTGAAGGCAATTGTTTTCAAAGATGGTCCTTCATGTGCCCCTATAACATTTACTAGGTATACTCAGTTTATTTTTTTGTAATGTTTCTAATGAACTAAATCTCTCTCTCTTTTTTTTTTTCCTGAAAGGGGGTCCTGATGACAACTTAATTGAAGGTGGAGGAACAAAGTTTGTCTGCAAACCTGGAGCCAGAAATATTACAGTTATATTCCATCCATTACTAAGGTAAGGTCAATCCTGTGTACTCACGGAAGATCAATGTTTTCATTATTGATGCTGATATACTGAATGCGAATAGGTCAGTCAGCGCTGAAACAAATCACTAAAAAAGGAAAAAAAAAATGTTCCATTTTCTAGGGCCTCACTATCAAAATTAGTCAATAGAAGAAATAATGCCAACCCTCCTAAGTAGCTACTTATTCTCCGTAAGTAGTCTGTTCCCTGTCGCTGCCCTTCTCCCTTCCCCTGTCTTTCTTTCCCCCTTCTTATGTTTTTCAGGGATTGACAAACTAAGGGCCATGGGAGGAGTCTAACCTATCATCTGTTTTTGTGAATAAAATTTTATTGACACAAAGTCATGCTCATCCATTTATGTATTGCCCGTAGTTGCTTTTGTACTACAGTTGCAGAATTGAATATTTGCAACAGACGCCATATGGCCCACAAAGCCTAAAATACTTATTCTGTGGCCCTTAACATTAAAATGTTGGAGACCCGTGATCTGTCTCACTACTTTACATTAATGACTCCGGTATCCTTTGAGAATTTGCAGGTCTCTGAACAAATACGATTTACAAAACTAAAAGACATTATAGCAATCAAATCCATATATGGTTTTTATATACTGAAGGACAACTCGATGGTGGCTAGAATGACGTCTATTGCAGTGCTTCTGTTGTTGTGATACTGTGATTGTAAAAGAATAAGAATCCATGATACTTCCACGTAAAAAACATTTAAGCCCTAAATATCTTTTAAAAGGGACTTTTGGGGATGGTGGAAGGGGGTTTGTTCAATGGAGCTAAAGTTTCAGTTTTGCAAGATGAAAAAGTTCTTGAGATTTGTTACACAACAATGTGCTTGTATTTAACACTGCTGAACTGTACCCCTGAAGGAGACTAAGATGTGTTTTTGACTAAAATAAAAAGGGTATTTGTTGGACACAGATATTCAATATAATATTAATTGCATGTTTCCCTTGTAATGGTTCAGTATATATTTTTGCTGAATATTCATGTAATAGACAAGAAACACTTGGGTTCATTAAAAGTTAGATGCGTCATATCATCATGCTAACTTTCTTGGATAACTTTGATAATATTTGAGGCATTTGGATTAACAGTTAAGCATATGGTACTGAATCGGCCAGAGATAGTACTGTGTGTACTTTTCCAAAACATAAGCGGGTTATTACTGGAATTATCCTACCATCTCATTAATTTACAAGACTTAGGAAATTGATATCATTAGAATTAATTCAATTCTAATCTCTTAACTAGTTTTTAACAATTTTACTAGAATACTTTACCCAATTAGGTTTAAATGGAAAAGCACAAATATATAAATTCAACAAAAACAAAAATCCTCACTTTCACACAATAAAAAATAAGAAGTTCTAAAAGAAGTGTTATTAACCTTTTAAAAAAGTGTTTTACCAAACATAGCAAGTAAATTTACATAATTTAGGAATCATTGAATAAAGGGAATTAAGACTATTCTTCTACATTGAGTTGATTTTATATACATATAAAATAATTTTACAACATACAGAATTTCTAGGCTAAGTAGTAATTCTCATATATACCAACTGACTTGGGTAATTAATTTAGTACTCACTCTCTTCTCTAATTGCAATTGATTTCTTATCAGTTAGTGTTGCTAATTGTTAGGAAAATGGGAAAATACCTTAATCATTATAGGCATCTTCTAACCTAGATTAACGCCATAATTTACTGCAAAGATATGTTATGGCTTGGGTAAATGGAGCCCTTTTGCTTTCAGTTGTTCTTAAGTATAGAAGAAACAAATTCTTTCAAAGTTTTTTGGCAGTGTTGTTAATAAACACTTTTCAAGAGATTTTTTTCCCCATAAACGTTTTTTGCTTTTTAAATGCAAAGTTAGTTGAATAGAAAAAGATATACTATTTCATACTTACTAAAATGCACTTCTGGTAAAGTACTGGTAGAACTTAATGTATTAAAGCTCTTGAAAATTTCTGTTTAATATTATATGTATGCTGCTTTACTAGAGAGGTTTTTTAAAAACATCCTTTCCTGAGAACATGCTTATTGATTTTAGAGAGAGAAGGAGGAAGAGAGAAAAACATGGATGTGAGAAAGAAACGTCAATCAGCTGCCTCTTGTACGTGCCCCAACCGGGGCGGGGGCGGGGGCGGGGGCGCGCACCCATAGTCGTTTGGTGCACGGAACTGTGCTCAGCCTGCTGAGCCCCTGGCCAGGGCGGGCGTTGTTTTAAGGCCTGAGGATACGCCTCGTAGTGTCACTTGCTTGTTCGGTCTCTACTTTCATTCAGAATTTGAATTTATTATTGATTAGAACTGGAGAAAGTTTTGTTGCATCATTTCAAATAGTTTATCAATCATTCATTTTCTGTGTAACTCTTAATCGAAGTCACAAGAATATTACATGGTCTGCAAGGCAAGTTAACTCCTTTCCAAGCAGGTGATTATTATAGACCTTATTTATTTTTTTGTATGTAATTATGTATGTATGCCTGTTTTTAATTGACTTTATTGGGGTGACATTGGTTCATAAAACCATACTGGTTTCAAGTGTACAACTCAACCAAACACCATCGGCACAGTGCATTGTGCGCCCATCACCCCAAGCAAAGTCTCTTCCCATCCCAATTCCCCCGCTTTTGCCCACCTCCACCTACCCTGGACCCCCCCTTTCTTTCTGGCTAAACCACACTCTTTGTCTGTCTGTGTGTTACATATGTTCTTTGGCTTAGTTCCTTTACCTTCTTTCATCTAGTCCCCCAGCCTCCCTCCCCCTGACAGCTGCCAGTCTGTTCCACGTTTCCATGCCTCTGTTCCTATTTTGTTTGTCAGTTTATTTTTCACTAAATTCCATACATAAGCGAGATCATATGGTATTTGTCTTTATCCGACTGGCTTACTTCATTTAGCATAATACTGTCCAGGTTGATCCATGCTTTTGCAAAAGGTAAGATTTCCTTTTTTGTTTTGTTTTTTTGAGGGCTGAGTAGTATTTCTTTGTGTAAATGAACCAAAGCTTTTTTATCTACTCATCTACTGATAAACACTTGGGCTGTTACCAGATCTTATTTATTGTAAATAACATGGCAATGAACATAAGAATGCATATGTTCTTTATAAACTTTATAGACTTTAAGTTAGCCTTTGACTCAAATTGTACCCGTCTTCTCAAGCGATGTAGAGTTTCAACTGATAACTTATGTGGACTTAGGGAACTTCAAATGACAAGGTCTTTTAGTATTTTTTTTACTTTAGTTTTTATACTTGAGCACTTGCTGATTATTGGATTTATTATTTCTTTTAAAGGTTGGAAGTTTACTTTTGGTAATGAGGAGAATCAAGGTGCATTATCATACTAGTGTATTTCTTTTTTACTATTACCATTTCATTTCTCCTCTAGTCATTTATTTATGCTCAAGAAATGAAATGTTCATTAAATACTTGCAATGTATGTTTTCCCTTCCCTAAGGGCCCTTAGCTATGGACTCTTGCTTAGAGTCATTCCTTTTGTTAAGACTTATTTCAATATTTATTGGTATTGGAGTATTTTTTATCCTTTTGTTCCTTTTTTTTAAGCTAGTTTAGAGTGAAAGTGATTTAGCATCTTATTACTTATAAAACAATGTAACATAGCAGGAGAGGCAGTGTAGAAGAATGGAAAGAGAGGAAAAAGCACAAGATTTGAAATTTAAAATAAAACCAGAACAAATTATCCAGGTTCATGTGTAGGTTCCATCCCTTACTTTTGCTCACTGATTATGTATTGAGATCGGATCCTATGCCAGGTCCTGAGGAAACAAAAAATTAAGGGGAAATTTTTGCTTACTTACTTGGTGGCTGCATTGGTGGCAAAAGTCGGGAAGTTGGAAACTGCCAGTTACTGGGGAGGGGCTTGCTCAGTGGGATCCCTCACTCCAAGTCTATGACCCAGGACGCCTCCCTGGAACCAGCATGACGTCACTGAGCGGTCACATAGGCTGTCACGAAGTAGTCCACATGTTTCTACTTGTATTGAGGGACTCACTTTTTTAATCCCAATTTTTTAAACCCTTTTTCTAATTGATTATAATAATTCTTTATTGATAATTTACATCATATTAAAAATAAGTTCAGAAGGAACTTACCACAGGCTGACGTTTGTCACAGGCCAACAGTATTCAGACATCATGTCATTATTTTCTTTCAGTGAACTCGCAGATATTTTTCTTTGGGGGGAGGAAACCCTTCCAAGTGTGAGGCAAGGCCTCATTTTCCCTTTGCTCCTCTCCTGTATGTAGCAGCACTAACCTCTCTCTTCCAGAAGCTTCGGCTGTGGCTCTTCCACACTTCATTCATTAAAAGTGTTCTTTTCATGGTTTTCATTCAGCTGGCAGAGCATTCCTTGCAGCCCGAAGGTTTGCCCTATTGAAAACTGAGCCACCTGCTGAGAACACCACACAGCACATGCCCGTTATGTGGTTTTATATATTCTCAGTAGTCGTTTATACTGTCCTCACGTAAAATTACTGCACAAGCTCCTCAGACCTGGTAAACTTGCAGACTTACTTTTGCACTCCTCTGATAACCATGCAGTCTCCTCCTGGGAAATTGTGCAGGCTGTTAACCACCCATTAACTCTGCTGACCCCTTGATTTGTTTATTTAATGCTTTTCCATACTACTTTCTCTTTTTGGTTAAGAAACCAGGTAATTGTCTCTTAGAGTATGAAGTTTTAGAAAATTGAGATATAGTTATTATCCTTGCTTCACTCTTAGCCTGAAAAGGCATTGTGTACAATTAAACCCTTAATGTAAGATTTGGATGGTAAGAGGTCACTTGATCAATTTTTCTCCTTGTGGGTCTAAAATGGAAAAAAAAATTGAAGTAAATACGCTACTAGCCACATGACGGTAGATTCTGAAATACTTTCACCAAAATACAGACTCTGAAAATGACAGGACTGATGCCTTCCACCCGCCAACGTGTTTGCCGTTTTTACAGCTTT